TGTGTGTGGGTGAGGGAGAGGAAGAAAGTGGGGGGGGGGGGAAGACTTGTTTTTGTATCTCTCCAGCATGAAGCAGCCATGAAGCTCGCTCTATCTCTGTGTGTGTGAGTCAGAGAGGGAGGGAGGGGGAAGGGAGGCAAGAGGCAGGAAACAGGAAGCTAAGAGCCACTGAGAGAGCTGGGGAAAAAGCAAGCTAGGGTGTGGCTGCAGTAGCAGCAGCCCTGGGAAAAGAAAGCAGAAGGCGGAAGCTGCTTGGGGGTCGGTTTTGAGCCCTGTGTGGGCCACGTCCGGCCCACAGGCCACACATTTGACACTCCTGCTTTAAACAATCCCCCAAATGATACAAAGCGTCCTCAGGTATCCTGCATGCAAGAACCGCTTTGCATTGCTCAAGAAGTCACTTTTCCCCAAGCTTTGTTCTGATTGTAATACTTACAAATTACATTCTCTTTACACTGAATGGCAGCCATTTGTTCAAGTAAAAGTGTATTCCAAGTCTGATCAGTGTTCACCTCACTGTCTAGGTAAGGGGCAGATCTTTTGCCTCTCAGCTGCATCCAAAGTTGCCTTTGTCCCATAGAACTCAATAGGATACACTAAGGATCAATCCTTAGTGTATCTTTCACAGCCGCTACAATAGTGGTCCATTCCTCAATCATACTAGAAACTGGTTTGGGTACATATACAGATGGAAGCTCCAAAAAGTTATAATTAAATTGTTTTAAAAGGTGACAAGAATCCCCCCCCCCCCAGCAACACATTCTACATGTGCAGCTTCATGAAGTTATCTTAATTATTTGTGTACAGACTTAAAGGAAAGGGACCTAGCAGCCCCTCTTGTTAACAGGGATGTATTTTCTTACAGACTGACTGTACAGTATGTAACAGGAATGTATTTTCTTACAGACTGTAAACAATACAAACTGCAAACAATGGCCTTAGAGCGCTTCGCCAGTCTGTCTCCTTGGATTACACTCCCCCCGCTGAAAATAAATTCTTTTTCTCCTTTCCAAAGTTACTCAAAAGACACCACAGGAACTTTCAGGTTCTTATTTTGAAGGCTCATGTTTCAAGAACTGACAGCAGCCCTGTAGCTAAGGACTTTTTGGGAAGGGGGTTGGGGGGGGCAGCCAATGTTCCCTCTAAGCTACGGAGTCTTGTGAGCAAAAATTCTACTTTGTGAGCTACTGGCATTAAAGCTGTGAGCGAGTGATTCGACTACTGCGTAAATTAGTTTGCTCTGGAGCTATCCTTCCTGAGCTAAGAGAAAAATCTGTGAGCCGGAGGCTAAAAAACTGTGAGCTAGATCACACTAACTCAGCTTAGAGGGAACACTTGCGCCAGCTAATTCAATCAAAGGCTCCAGGGCAATGGTTGCAGCGGCGGCAGCTTCCCTCCCTCTCCCCCTCCCCTCTGCAAGGGCAGGCCTTTTCTGCTGAGTGTCGGGGTCCGGTTCCCTCCCTCCCCAAGGAGCCCCAGTGCCTCTTCCCGCGGCGCAGCACCAGGGGCAGCATGATCTCCACTCTCAGCTCCCTCCCAAGGCACACAGTGGACAGGCTGGAAATGAAGGTGCTGTGTATGGGCTCGTTAGCACACTGGAGTGCATCTGGGCGTGCCTGGCTGGGGCCAGAGGAGCCCTCCTGCCTCCTTGCCTTCCCTGGTTGGGCTTTACCTGCTGCTGGTGGGCAGTGCAGCAAGCATTTGGTGGGAGCCCGAAATGTAGGTTTCTCCCCACCCCCCATTCATGCCCGCTGCCTGCCCGGGTGGTTCTCTCAGCCCAGCCTCTCTGCTGCTGCTGTTGCCTCCGCTGCCTGAAATCACTGCCCTTGTCAGGGGAGGTGGGGAAGGGGCCTCATAAAAACTGCTAGGGGGCCAGGCCCCATGGTAGCTATGGGCCTGACTGGCAGAAAGATGGGATTCTCACAAGCCTGGAAGATGGTTCTTGCAGAGACAAAGGCTGCTGTCCTATTTGGACCACAGCATCTTCATTAAAACTGTGTGTCACATTTTATACCCAAAGACAGCAACCAAGGTTGCTCCTCTAATCTCACTGCCACAGCTGAACAGAAGCTACACCTAGGAGCTGAAATATTTTTACAAGGGTATCCTGCTAGGAAGTCATATACAGGACTGTATCTATGCTGTGATTGCATGAGAGTACTGGAAACCTCCAGACTCTGGAACACACATTTCATCAAAATATCATTCCTGTGGCAGTTCTTTCATATTAACATGTAGGTACACTCAACATCAGACCCATCACCTAGTGAAGTTTCTTACCAGTTATTGGAACGGGGGTAGGGAATGCACCAACTTTTCACAGAGGTGCCCATCTTTTAGAGGGGCATTCTGCACGGGAATGCCATTTTTAGCACCAGGAGACATTTCTGCTTCTGCATTCAAAAGTTCACTTTATGTCCATGGGAAAAAGATAGATCAAGTCATAATTTTCCTTTCTTTGCAAGGTGTCTCAGTTATGTTGAAAGTCAGTGATGCCTACATCCATCTTAAAACAACAACACTAGTTAGTGATCTGCACCTGGGATCTGGTCAAGGTGATGGTTATGCTCTCTGAAGTCCCTCATGACTGAGAAGCTGCACATCTGAGATACTACCTCTTCTAGTACAGACCCATGCACACATTAAGTTCTACCCAGTTGCCTTTGCTGAGTTGTTTCTCATGGAGATCTGCTGTTGATGTCTGTGAGATGACGAAGCCTTTTCAATGGCAGGTCCATAAATGTAGAACAGACTGCATGAGAAATCCAGCAGTTCCCAAATTCAGTGGGCTTTTAAAACTAGCCTTTGAGTAGTTTTAAAGAGGAGCATGGGGTATGTTTTAGCAGAATTATACTGAGGGGAGGCAGCCATGGCTTAGTGGGAGAGCCTCTGTTTGCATGCAGAACGTCCCAGTTTCAATCCCCAGCAATCCACAGCATCCCCAGTGAAAAGGATGTGAAAGACCTCAGCTTGAGACCTTGAAAAGCTGCTGCTAGTGTGAGTAGACAATACTGACTTTGATGGACTGATGGTCTGATATGGTAAAAGGTTGTTTAAGAGGTTGTTTTAATTGGCTGCAGTATACTATTGTGAGATGCTCTGAGCTCTGGAAGAATGGATAACAATATTTTAAAATGTAAAGGCACTATATGCCTGTCCAAATTTTGTTCTGTGCTGGTCCCTACTGTTGCACTTTTCTCCTAATACTAACAATATTTCCCTTCTTTACTAACGTAAGCTGCTACTCTTCCATGGTTGCCACATCTGGCGGCCATAAACCTCATTTAACCACATACTGGAAGTACTTCTTTAGCTATCCCAACCTTGCTGCTAAAGTGACTATTTTATGCAGCAAGTACCTACAGCAGGGAGGTTGCAGAGGTCACAGATACTACCCCCCATGAATCTTATGTAAGGCAAACTGCCTCCAACTTATACCAGTATTTTCTTCGCTTCAGATTTAAGGAGTGAAAGTTGGTTGATACATACAGAATGAGGCGACAGAACGTTGAGCTGGTGAAATGGATGGCAACACTGCAGGTGGACTCCAGTTACAAATACTCCTTTGTATCTTTAAAAAAAACAAAACTTTTTCACGATGTCTAAAAACCAGCACAGCACAGAGACACTTCTACCCCTTCTCACTGCTTGCTGTGCTGGTTATCTACTACAGCAAGTCTTTACACAGGTGAGTATGCAAACATTGAAATCATCCACCTGCATCCTGACATGGTACAGTTCTTTTTACCCCCCTCATTCTCCTGTACCTGTAAGTTAGGGGCAAGCAGCATCGTATTCATTGGTACAGTTTACAGAATATGGCTTGAAGCAAACACAGCTTTTTAACTACATGTAAAATACTAAGACCTACTCTGAGGCAAAAACAAAAAACTGCCTTACTGTGTAGCCTTAATAACCATGAAAAATGTCAGTTCTATTTCTGATGAGAACGAGAGCTAGATTACATGAGATAAGGAGCAATGAGAGAAACAAAATAGCTTTCAGAAACTGTTCTGTTGATAATTTGGAACTAACGAACTTGTGATAAAACCAGTTTCATTTCAGCACTTAATGTCAATTTATGGGGAAGCTCAATCCAACTTGTACCACTATCTGTGTACCCACACATGAGCCACTTTACTACGTACAATTCCAAGTCAGTAAGATATGTGAACAGCAGTCACGTGGGTGGACCAAGGGCATAGATCTCATCTGATTGGGTTGAGGAAAGACCAGGACTGTCAGGTCACGCACCCCTGCCTGCAGTATTCACACATACCCTCAGGGATGTGGGAGTAAATCAAGAACTGCTGCTATTATGAGTAAATCATGCTGCTATTATGAGTAAAGAGACAGGATGCTGATGGGTTGAGGGGGATCCCCACCCCCAAATTTAGCCTATTTTACAGCACACTAACTCTTCAGAGCAGCCAGGATGACCACTTTCAGTCCTTGACATCTAGGACAGTCATTTTGTATTCCCCAGAAACTGTCCATGGTTCAATAACAGGACAGTTCTGTTATAAAGCCATCTACCCCATAGCCTGTATTCTGAAAAGACACTGAACATGCACACTTCCTGCAAGGAACAAATAAGTAAAGAACCCCCCAACAGTCAACCAAAGATTCCTCCCATTAAAAATACTAGAGTGAATGTAAAATATCCCCCCCTCCCTACAGTATTGCAGGATGAAAATATAGCATTTGTTTAATTCAGAATATTAGGAAAAATATATACATGTAGTGATGTACACCAGTGCAGGCAGATTAAAAAATCTCCACGGAATCCTATGGCATAGAACTTTAGTGAATAAGCATTTCTAGCAATTCTAGAAAATATTGTAAACCTCTTTTTTAAAGTTTTGGTGTCTCAAAACAGTAAGAGAAGAGAGGACGGATTATGTGGGGATACGAACCACATTATCTATTCATATGATAATACTGCAACATACAAGTTTTGCCAAAATAAAAATGGAAATATTTATTTCCTCCCCCACAAAGCAATAAACTCTTGATCTTATTCATTGGTCTTTGTAAGTGACTCTTACCATTCAAACTGTAGCTTCGACTCTGTATAAAAATTAGACACAAACTCCATAAAACAAGAATGCTGAAAGACTAACAGGGCAGTCCTCTGCAAAGTTACTCCAGCCCACACCCACTGGGCAGACTGGAAGAACTCTGCATAGGATTATGCTGTCAGAGACCAAGACAGTAAGTGGTGATAAGCAAAGAAAAGTCAACTTAATCTTTAAAAGAAAAAAGTCAAGCTTTCTTTGCACAACTATATTGAAAGGCTTCACTGAGAGACAAGATATTTAAATAGGTTCATTACAGTAAAAAGATTTACATTACTTGCACAAGTTTGGGCCCATACAAATTGTAGCTCCATTTCCTGATTAAATATGAAGAATCAGTGATCTCACTGTTAAATACTGGAATTCGACAGAGACTCTATAACCCATTACTGAGTGGTACATGCACATGATGCAGGGGAAAAGGGAAGGTTTATAAGACCCCGTGCAAATAGTACAGGACAAACTGTTACAAACGTGCACTGGACAAATTTGAACTTTACAGGAAGTCTGGCAGAGTTATTTGGATGAAGGCAAAAATTCTGGAGCACATTTCCTCCTCCATAAGGGCAGTCTTCATTTGGCCTCCTGAGCTTTCTTAGCATTCTGTTTTTCTTTTGCCTAAAAAGATAAAGGCAAACACAGACGCCATGATGGATAGCAGTAACATGTTACACATTAGCTGGCTGCAATTCAACATATACAAGAGTCCTCTGTCAGAAGACTTACAGTGCATTCCTAAGAAAATTTACTCCAGTGTAAACCCACTGATTTCAGTGGGTTTACACTGGAGTAACTCTGCTTAGGATTGCATTGTTAGTGTTCTATCGACTACATCCTACAGATCCATTAAGCATCCTGATATTCAATTGCACACATAATTTCAGGGAATCCTTGAGTCAAAGGACATGAATTCCTCCACTGTTTTTGTAAATGCACCTCCTGAGATTGTTATTGTCTAGGGTACAGGTCATCAGCGCTGGTGTCTAATTCCTATCCTCTCTCTGTGACCATGAAGGCAAAAACTACTGAAGTAGCTTAAAATGACATATGGCACTCAGGTTGGGTGCTCCTGCTACAACCAAAGATCAGCCAAAAATGACTCAGCCCCAAAGTAGTTTCAACTTTCTCAGAGGAGGAATAGGGATCTGCCCTATCAGATCACTCTGAAAGGAAAATGCCCCAGAACTCAAATGGAAAAGCCAGCCTGCAAAATCCAGGGGACAGGAGTTTAAATACTTAGCACATAGCAAAAACATATATTTTTAACACCCATTTTCCAACAGTAACTTTCCCCCCATGACTACCTTTCTTCAAGTTTGGCAAGCATGAAGAGTCAATATTCAAACAGGGTGGGAATTCAAACTTGTCACTTGTTAAGAGGTAAACTGGACTATGTGCTACCAAAACTGCAACACCTGTTTTCTGTTAAATGGTTTCATCTAAGCCAATAACCCAAAGGTTTTGTGAATTCCAACTGATATTCTGACTTAAATTGGTATCAGGTAGCCATAGAACCTCACCTACAAGATGTATTTTACATCAAGCACATGTGGAAGACATGTGCAAAGACAACAACCTGAATAAGGTCAGCTGAGCTGCCAAGCAACTTAATAGCTTGACAGGAGATTGACTGGGCACGTTACATATATCTTCATTTTGCACGTTACATATATCTCCATTTTATGTGCTTGGAGTTAAGTCATATCAGCAAGTCAGTGTTACAACTGTAACTCGAACACTGAGGAAATTGCAAAAAGCCATCAAACCAATGGCAAAGATCATACAGAAGTAGCAAAAATCAACTACATACAAGCCATTCAGAGAAAACATGATATTAAGAGTGCGCCACCTACTGTTCACAGCACTAAAAGGAGGGCACTAACTATAAAGAGACTTTTAGGTGCTTACATTCAGCCTTTGTGCCCTAAAAAGTGCCAGTACCCAGGTATAAGGTTGCACCAATTTCTACCAATTCCCTCCTCAGGACTTGGGAAAGCCCCCTCAAAAGATAGTACTCAGTACCTGTACTCAGGTTGGTATAAGGCTGCACCAATTCCCTCCTCAGGTCTTGGGAGAGCCCCTCAAAATATGGTACCCAGTACCAGTAGATTGTATCACCAAAGAAGCTCTCTTTACCATTTTGTCATTATTATTCAGAAGCTATTATTTTACTTCTGAATATGGAAACATTTCCACTACAGCTTTTTTTTTCCAGGTGGAAGCTATACACAGATCCAGGAACTACCTATTGAATAGTAAGGAACTTGCAGCTTACCTTTTCTACAAGCGGGATTAATTGTTGGTGTTCTGCTAAAGTCTTCAGCAATTCCATTATGAAAGGTAGGTAGTTATGTTTTCTTCTAATATTTTCAATCTACAAGAACAAGAGACAATACCTACATTAGATTCTCCCCTCCCAAGCGTTACGTTTTATCTCCTTTACATGAATATATGTGCAACAGTGCATAAGTCTGTAAAGCACATGGGAAAAGTCTCTGCTGTCAAAGTTTCTAGTACTGACCTTGGGGGGGGGGGCACAGAGACAGAAGGTGGCCACAGGTTGCAACACAGTTAGCCTTCATCCCTCCTTGAGCTGTGATAAAAGTTAACTGTGGAATTAGTGAATGATCTGTCTCAGTGCGTGCATATGCACACAAAAACTCCACAGGTATAAATATTAAGGACTAGAAACGGCACACTGAATATATGCTTAAATTCCTCTGAAGAAGGGAAAATTATGAAGTTCAGAGGAAGCCCCACGTCACCTGAAGGAAAACCATTTGCTTTCTGAAGAAAAGCAAGTATGAGACGACTTCAGTGGGTCGATCTTAACTGGTAACAGGAAGTTCAGATACCTAAAGGGGATGATAACATGGCATGCAAGCATACTAGTTTATCTTCTATACTAGCCTCTGGCCATAATAACTAAAGACAAGAAAATCCAACCGTAAAGTTGCCAAAACATTATAACAACGTAAAACAGAACGTAGTCTGCTTTGATTTAAGCTTTGAGGTAAATAGCCTAAAGGAATACCAGATTTACTGATGCTGCTATTACAATTAAAATAATTAAAAACAAGCAACCAGCAGCTATTTTGGCAAAACAGCTTTGGTTCAGATCACAATCTCATGTGGCCTACAAAGAAAAAAAAATCAGCATGCAATCCTATGCATTGTTACTTGGAAGTAGGCCCACCTAAAACTAATGGGAATTACATCTGAATAAATATGCACAAGGGCAAACTGCAAGACAGTATAAATAGGAGAAACACCATATGCATGTAACCACTAATTTCAGAAAATGTTCAAATCAATGCAGAAGAAAGCTTTATTTACTACAGGTGGTTATCTTGATATATAGCAAGTTAATGTAAAGTTATACAGATAGCCTGTACAATATTGTAACTTCTGATACCAGAAGAGAGCATCCGCGGGAAGCGAGGAGAAGGTCATTCTGGCCTGTGTTACCAGCCAAAAGTATAAGGCACACTGAGGTGGCTGTACTTCCCCCTCTCATGAAGAACAGCCTAGCCCCAAATGTTATCTTGCAAATGAAGAGCTGCAGAGAGGTTGCTTCTGTACTTCCTACCAGAAGGAACTTTTCACCAATCACCAGTGCCTGATCTCTGCAGCAGTGGAGGAGGGGAGAGGGAGAGAGGAAAAGGCACCGGGCAGCACTTCAATTTTCCGAAAGGGAAGGCCAGTGTTGTACCGAAGGGCTTAACTGCTTTCTTCCAGCACTGTCAAACTGACTGCCCTCCTCTACCTCCCCCTGCCCCCAGTGCATCTTGTCTTTTAGTGAACGAGCCTGAGCACAAGGTTGTTGTCTCATTTTCATCTAAGTACAGCCCCTGGTGTTAGGACTGTGCTTTCAATTTTAGACTGTTTTGAGAAGCCATTTTTGTTTGACAAGTGGGATGAATAAATAAGATGACAACTAAAGCTCAGAAAAAGGCAATGTCCTTTGGGAGAGGATATTAATGCCAGTGAATATTCATCTCAACCTTCATTCTTCTGTTAGGTAAAAGCCCCTAGCCCTCATTGGTTGTGGAGATGAAAGGATGACCGTGCTGCTCAGCAGCCAAACTAGGAAGATCCCTGCAAAAATGACATTTTCAAACCCTACTGCTCTACTCATTTAAGATGCCACAAAAACATTTCCAAGTTACCCTCTGTGCTGAGCAGGGCATCCACTTGGCACATCACTTATCTACTGAACAAAGTGTCTGACATCTTTTTAAAAAATCACATGGTATAACAAATGAATCAAGGTAGTCATACCAAAGTATTACAGCTGAAGCAGATGTCACTGCAGCTAGCTAAGTCTCGCAGATAACTACATATGCTAGTAGCAGTGCAAGGCCAAGCCCCAAGCTAAGGTTGTCCCTCCCTTTCATGACCCAGGAAATCACAGATTGGGACTTCCCTATTCACAATATGGCTATCTTGTGTGAGTTCGCTCTTCTAACATTATGTGGAGCAGAACACTCATATGCGCGGGAGCGAGACAGCTGTAGAGCACGAGTTGCGGGAGCGAGACAGCTGTAGAGCACGAGCTTGGAAGGCTGTGCTGATCCCACAGAAGGCAAGAGACTACGGAGCAAGAAAGGGGATACTTTTATTGGAACAACAAATTTTCAAAATTTTGGAGACGAGCTCAAAAAAGGGTTGTCGTGTTTTTTTTAAAAAAAATAAATAAATAAAAACAAACAGGAGCTAAGTGAATTAGATTACAAAACATCTGACCTTGCTGGAGGGATCAGGTTGCACAGCCCCCTAGAATCAAGGCAGAGAAGAAATTTCAACAACGTATGGAGAAGGGGGGGATAAAAACCCAGCATGAAATGTTTAAAAATGAAGGCATCTTTCCATCTCCAGTATTATCAGGTCTCACAAGTCCCTTCTAAGATAGAGAATGGAGGATGCAAAACAAGTAGTTCGGTAAGAATGGAGGCAAATTTGGAAACAGGGGATTCATGCCAACTTCCACAGCTCTGGTCCAAGGGCCTGAAGTCACACCTTCTCAGAATCTTCTATTGTTTAATTAAAAAACAAAAATTAAAAATGCTGTTTTATATGATGAACATCAGCCAGGGTATATAATTTGATTTCAGTGTCTGCTCTGAAACACAATTGGAGACATTCCCTTATGAATTGAAAAATGTCCCATGTTTCTTTTGCTGTGTTGCACATGAAATTTCAAGGAATCTAAAAAGCCAAGTGAGTTGTTTTCAAACTGGGATCCTGGGAAATCCCACGGTTCCTCAGAACCTTGTTAGGGATTCCTCAATTGGGGGGAAAAACCCAGCAAGGGTAGACAGACAAGCTTCCTTGAAGCATTACCAGTCTTCTGGAAAGTACATCAGATGGTATGTGCTGGATATATTTTAAAGACAACTCCAAGGCCCAGAAGGTCATGTGTTTACATGTTCAGGTGAACAACTGTGCACTCTATTAGAATTCTCTGCAATGAACAGGACTTTGCGGCACACATGCTGGCGGTCATCAGCAAGCAAGTCAATGTAAAAGGGGGTCCCGGAATAAGGAAAATCTGCAAGCTGTTTTTTTTTACAAAAGGTTTAAGCTAACGATCTGTAATTAACATGATCTATACTATTTTCTTCTAAGAGCAGCACACCGTCACTCTGGACACAGAACATTTTAACACCAAATGAAAAAGAAATAGTTTGGATGCTTCCAATGTTCTCCCTCACACTGCTAACCCCCAAACAGAAATAGTTTTACCTATTCTGTACTTTACATTTTGTGGGACCAACACAGCGAGTATAGTGTTCCTCAAGCCTTTTTTTCAATAGTTAGGCAATTTTTAGCTGTTACTTACTATTGAAAGCAAGAACTGTACACACCTTGTATCTTTTCAACTTTTGATTTTCTTCCTCAATTAACATCTGGTATTTGGCAACTTCTGACTGAATAGAGCTTAGTATATTACTGCTCTGGTCTGTATCCATGGGCTCTTCCTTTTGGAAAAATAAAGGAGGATAAGGAATTTGTGTGCTGTTGCATCACAGAGCAATTTATTTAGACCGTTCAGATAAAATAGACAATGTTACATAATGGTCAACAACTCAACCTTTGTTGTCCTTAGAGATAGGCTCTGTCTTAAAATACAGAGTTCATATACTGTTCTACTTAAACATTATTTATTTAAAACATTTGTATTTATTTAAAACATAGTGATCACAACTTTGACACTTTTCCACTGCCTGTACTAGAAACAAGATACAATGTACTGCAATTTCCTTACTTCTCACAGTACTCATTGTAAATGTTAAAGTGCATCTTCATCTGCATATGAAATCAGCGCTTTTATATATTATATTTTTTCTCCAGATAGGGGGAAAATGTATGTTTTTATCTAGGATGTTAAATATATACAGTTTGTTTAGAATCAGCTCTTCTAGGAAATCAACAGAGGTATTTCTTGTGAAGTTTAGATTTTGCCTTGTTGAAAAATACTATACTTATATTTCACTCTTACACACATGAAGCTGCCTTATACTGAATCAGACCCTTGGTCAGTCAAACTCAGTACTGTCTACTCAGACTGGCAGCTGCCCTCCAGAGTCTCAGGCAGAGGTCTTTCACATTACCTGCTGCCAAATCCTTTAACTGGAGAGGCTAGGGATTGAACCTGGGAACTTCTGCATGCCAAGCAGATGCTCTACCATTGAGCCACAGCCCCTCTAGGTCTCACTCTTCAAGAGACAGATCAGGTCCACGTCTACTTAAGCTTTGACAATAGTGCAGCATCAGGGGCTCACAGGCCCTATTGCCCAATCATGTCAGTGAAACATTCACACAATACCTCAACAAGTTGTTTCTGCAACTCTGATATTTTCTGTTCATATATCATTTTTCTGTCTGATACAATCGCCATCAAGTTAAACCTTATTTCGCCTTCACTATACCTACAAAATAAAAAAAGAATTGTCAGAAACCAACATCAGTGTATGATGAATTATTAATGATCTTTTGGAATTTACAAACCACAAAGCCAATTGAATGTTACATTTCATCAGGAGCAAATGCAGCCTCCCTTGTGTGTGAATTTCTTGAAATGGCAAATGGCCTAACACCCATGCCTCACATTTATTTATTTAGAAAATTTACATTCCGTAATAGGCAAAGCCATGTACAAGAAAATCAAAGTGGCTAAGAAAAATGAGAAGACAGATTCTGCCATTTCACTGTCAGCACTTGTGTGTTCTCTCAGCACAAGGACCCTTCTGCTGACATAAAGCCCATAAATCCCACCTGTGATTTATGCTTGCAGAAAAATCCTTAGACCAGAAACATGTGAACATCGAAAGACCAATGCAGTAGGATTCAACCTTAAGAATATTACAATTCCACTGCTCTATGGACCCAATTTTAACTTCCTAAGTACATGCAAATTTGATCATTTTCAGCTTGATGCTTGAAAATATCAAGGATTTCACTACAGCTAAAAAAAGCCTAAACCAAAAATGTTACAAACAAGAAGTGGGGGGAAATCTAATAAATTTTAGCCTGTGAGGGTGGTCAGGGGAAATAAAAACTTCATTTCTAGTAGCTGACTTCTCCATGCCCATTCATATATTCACAAGTATAATAGAGGAAGGAGCAAAAAAGTGAAGATAAAGTACCATGCTAGATCCCCCAATGTTATTTATTCTAAGCCCACCACAATAAATAATGTTGGAAGAGGAGATGGCAGATTCCAGTTACATATGTGCTATAATTTCTTAAGGGGGGGAGGGGGGAGAACCATAAATCATGTGTGCAGCCAAGTTTTTTCCTGTACTGATGGTGGCACATGGAGAAAACATCCTACTCTATTAGCCATTTGAGAATATTCCAAGAATTGCACCCACAGAAAAATCTGAGAAAGGTATTCATGTAAACATTTTGCCTTATGCCAAGGCAGTTTTACAGTAGTTTGGTTTGTTCAGGTGTATATTACACCCAAAGGGGCTGTGGTGGCTCAAGTGGTTAAGATGCTGAACTGCAGATCAGAAGGTCGGTAGTTCAGCAGTTCGAGACCCAAGTGCTGCATGACTGAGTGAGCTCCCATCTCTGGTCCCAACTCCTGCCAACCTAGCAGTTCGAAAGCGAGAAATTGCAAGTAGATAAATAGGTACTTCGGTGGGAAGGTAACAGCGTTCCGTGCGCCTCGGCGTCTAGTCATGCCGGCCACTTGACCACAGAAACGTCTTTGGACAGCACTGGCTCTTCAGTTTGGAAACAGAGATGAGCACTGCATCCCTAGAGTCAGATTCGACTGGCTTTCAAGGGAAACCTTTACTTTTACTTAGGTTACACCCAACTCCCTGGTTATGACTTGTAACCTGAAATTATACGTGTCAGCAGAACCAAATACTATACAATGCATCTCCAAGCAATGCTGGATGTAAGGGCAGATTTGTGTGAAGGAAGAAGACCACAGCACAATTAGAACAGATTTCTAAGAACTAGTGTAACATTCACGTTTCTAAATACAAACAACTGAACTGTACAGAACTTTCAAAAGTTTACTTTTGTATTCTTTTTTCTATGACAGGCCTTACAGCGCTGATCCAGTCATCTTGATTACATACTCCTAAAATGGAAACACAAAAGTACAGCAAGTCAATATTCCCACAGACACAGAATTTCAGGCTTTTAAAATAATCCATATAAGGGTCAAGATCATGGCTTCAATACATTCAATTACACAATTCTATACACAAGGTGAGTATGTTACATATTGCTCTTACGACAAGGACATTCACTGAAAATGATTTGTCTTAATACTGAAAGGCATAGAAGGGCCTTTTTTGGAAATTAAAAGGATGACATGTGACATTCAGAGAAAGGTAAGGCTTTTACTAATAATGTATATCAAAATTTATATCTTTGCCCCCCCCCTCCCCGACTATATGCTGGATAACAGACATCGATTAGGCTTTTGTTGCATAATTGACAATGCTTTGGTTTCTTCTGTTTCAGTGTTTCTTCTGTTCTTCTGTTTATTTTTAATATATTACATATTTATGCTCAACATACATTGTTTTTAAACTGTTTAAATAATCAGGAAAAAAAGAAACATTTCAACTGGTAATGATTATTTTGAGAATAGATAGGAACTAAAATAATGAAAGTTCTGATGAACTGTTTTCTGTGACATTGTTTGATGGGTGATTTAAGACCTATAGTCCTTTACTGAATATCATTTGCTGCCCCACTCCCAGTATTTTTATATTTAATGCAATTTTAACCAGGCAACCTTCTACATTAGCCTATTTTTGGTCTATAATATTTTTGCACAAAACCTATTTTGAAGATGAATCCCCTTATTTAGAATTCTTCTACGGTCATTAATCTATCTGAGGAAAGGTGAGGGTTTTCACCCACTGAAAGACTTATCTAAGTGATATATCAAGGGCATTATTAAGAATGCAAGAAGAAAATGTTACCCAAATCAATTGGGCCTTCCCTTAGACCATCGAGTTCATATAATCTCCCATTTACAGGAACGTAACTGACAAAATGGAAAGCATCTTCTTCTTTAGCTGTTGACTTTGCATCAAACTCAAACATCTGTTGTCTAAAAGCAAGCAAAAGAGAAAAGTGAAAGTTACACAGTCTCCTAAGATTGCCTTGCTTATTTGTGACAACTGTAGTTTCATATTACCTGGCAAAACTGTTATGGACTTGCCGAATCACTTCTGAGTTACTTAATGCTAGACCCTTCATCTAAAAACGAAATGAGAAATTCAGTCATGCTGATCACAAGCAAGAGAATTCCAAAGAGGTAACAGAATCATTGCACGTACCGCTGCATCAAAGCTCTGTGAGAATTCTTTAAATTCTGATAGTGTTTCTCCTAAGTGGACGTCCTGATGGGTACAGTTCAGTAGCACACTTACTATGGCTTGAGTTGCACAAGCATTATTTATAACCTGCAATCATATGTGAAAATACAGATACAACAATTACAAAAGCAGTTTCATTCATTTCCCCACTATAATCCCTATTTTTTGGAGACTCTAAGTCTGCAGAATATCAGAGACCTGTCCAGACCTGTATGGCCCATGTGCACTGCAAAAATGAGGGTCTCATGCTTTCTAAGCACACACATTAAAACATCTGATACACTGTGGTTTGCTTTGCAGATTCAAACAGAAAAAAGAATTGCATTTGTTGCTTTATTACCCTAATTTTTAACTGGGAAGCAGAGCATTCTGTTGTATAGTTTAGTCAAATTTTATTGCCTTTGAATAGGATGTTTCTACGGGATATCACCTTGTACCAGCATAAGAAATCAATACTTCACTGTGCAGACTAGCAGTCCAAAACTATTTTAGATACTGGTTTATTACTACGAAATATAACTATTCAATTACTTGAGAATTGCAGCACCAATTTCTTTAAACTAAACTGACAAAAGGAAACAAGCACCCAGCCCAGCCTCCCAGAGCCTCTTCAACATCACAAATACTTTCTGGAGACGGTCAGCTGTGTAGGAATATAAGAGGCGGTAAAGACACAAATCTGTATTTTAGAAGGAGGAGGGGGGAAAGGCAGGAAAAGATACAGCACACAATGGAAGAAGCATGTGCATTATGTTACAAACTGGCAAAAGAAAATAAAGCACTATTTGAATGACCCTCAATGGAAAAAGTACATCAGAAAGATGAGACAGAAGGTCTACAGACATTAAGGAAATGCCTAACAAATAAAAACAGAGTCATGAATCACGATAACAGAACAATTTGGACATCTTCCTGAGGCAGAGATCAGTGTAATTTCTTCAGTGTTATAATGTAGTATGACAATGCTGAACCACAGGAAGTCAAGATCAGAAAAATTCAAACTGGATAAAATAAGGCATACAAAGATGCTGTCAGGTTATGTTCTGGTTATGTTAGCTACAATTGTTTAGAATTTGAGTTACTTAGTATTACCAAAAGGCTTGTAGAGCCACCTGAACAAGCTCTTGTGGCAAAAGACAGATTCTCAAATTTGCCCATCAAAACATGAGTTTTCCTACTGCCTTGTGGAATATTTCTCCTGTGGGTGACGGAAGTGAGCAGATACTAAAAGCAACAAAGTGCCAATCGACATACACAGATATGAAATACTACCCCTTGTTTGTCTATGACATTAACAATGTGAGCTTAAACTCATGATAAAGCACACACACACACTTTGAAATATCATAACAGCATAAATGTAACTTTCAAAATGAAAATGACATTACCCTGATGGGTGTATTTCAGCTACCATGACTGTAAAGAAGAATCTCTTCAATGTGCAACACAAGGCTCAGCCTATTGCTCTGTTTACAGTACAAAAGCATGGAAATGTGACCCATGAAGGGGGTGCAGTTTGGATTGGTGTAGTGCCATCACCAAGACTGTTCTGCAAAGGGCACAGCAGGGATGAGTTGAATCACAAGCAAGGGTATGGCCAGAGAAAACTCATGAAGAAGCCAGCTAGTAATGTTCCTCTACTGCAAGAAAGGAGCGCAACCCCCTAGACCCTTGATTTGGATATGTTTGGCTCAAAATGTATGGTGGCCTTATAAAGAATAAACCATGTTAGCCACACCACTGTACTTCATAGTTAGTATACTTTAAAAAGAGCAAAAGCAAAGTATAATCATTAGGGATGAGCACAAACCACAAGCCAAAATTCAACGCGAACTTGGCCTGGTTCAGAGCCCATGAATAATTGCCGGACTTTTGTCTGGTTCGGCTGTTCGTGCCATTTAAACCTGACAGCTGAGCAGTGTGGGTCTGCAGCTGACCAGTTAAGTTTAAATGGCTGTGAGTCATTTCACCAGTTAGTTTCGCTCCCACGCCCCGCTTCCATGTGGGGGAAAGTGAAATGGACCAGTGAAATGGCTGCCAGCTCCCAAATGGCTGTTAGGCTTGCCCACCTTGCTGTTAGGCTGAAATTTCTGTGAGCCATTAAACGCGTCAGTTTTGCTCCCCCTCACTTCAAATGCTACCAGCTATTTAACCCTTCCCAGATCCACCCCTTCTTCCAACTGTGGCAAGCTGCAGCTGAGAGAAAAGGGGATCTGAATGGGCCAGTTTGATTCAGGGCATTTTTGGCTCCTGATCTGAAATTTTAAGGTTCATGCCATCCCTAAAAATAATAATTATTTATTTATTTGATTTATACCTTGCCCTCCCTGTCAGAGCAGGTGAAATGAGAGACAAAAGTCTGAAGAATCTTCAGATGCCAAACATACTTGCATCAGCTATTTAGAAGTCACAACACTTGGCTATGGCCAAAAAAAAAAAGGGGGGGGGGGGGGGAGTGACTTGCCAAAATTTAAAGACAGACAAATGTTACCAGCAATATCAACAGCAATTCTCTGTGAAACAGAGTCTAGTTTGACAAAACAAAAGCTAGGAAATTTAGACTTCACGCAAAACCTTTATCCTTCTCTCACCTTATTGTGCCTAGATATCCTAGCTCATACATGGTGATCCAGAGTTCTGAGGCCCTCAATACAGGACCATATCATACCTAGGCATAACAAGGAGGCCAAATTTTACCAAGGTGCAGATAGAACTGAACACATTGATACACATGCATACAACCACAATTGCTTAAAAAATGCTTAGAGCTTTAGTCCCCATTAGGGCTAGTTATCAATGATGCTCATTTTCTTTACCACCTACCTGAGTGCTATGAAAGCTATATGAATTACTAGACTAATTGTTCAGCTGCTGCAGTTGTAGCAAACTATTTCTGTAATTGTGCAGTTTAAAATTTCACTAAAGAGTTTGTAGTAAGGTATTTTTGTAAATGTACAGTTTACAAGGTCTTCCATGAAATTTGTAAACTGCACATTTACAGAAATAGGTTACTATAAGGACTTCCATGAAATTTTAACATGAGTTCTTTTCTTTGTTCTTAGGGGAGATGGGCAGAAATTTAATGGGAAATACATAACAGATTGAGGAGTGCTGATTTTCATGACAGTATTACAGCACAGATTTGACTGGGCTGCAGCACATTGTTCTAATGCTTTTGATTATTGTTGTTGTTCAGTCACACATTCAAGTCCGACTCTTCGTGACCCTATGGACCACATCATGCCAGGCCCTCCTTTCTTCTATCGTGCTCCGAAGTTTGCTTAATTTCATGTTTGTTGCATCGATAACACTGTCTAACCATCTCATCCTTTGCCGTCCCCCTTCTTCTTTTACCTTCGATCTTTCCCAGCCTCAGGGTCTTCTCCAGTGAGTGGCCATGGGGTCACAAGTGGCCTTGTTCACAGAACGTAACAAGCAGGAGGATATGTACAAGCAGACGAGCTTCAGCTTCAGTATCTGGCTTTCCAGGGAACAGTCAGGGTTGATTTATTTTAGGATTGACTGATTCGATCTCCTTGCAGTCCAAGGGACTCTCAAGAGTCTTCTCCAGCACCATAATTTGAAAGCATCTATTCTTCGGTGCTCGGCCTTCTTTATAGTCCAACTCTCGCAGCCATACATGACTACTGGGAGTACCACTGCTTTGACCATATGGACTTTCGTTGGCAGGCTGATGTCTCTACTTTTTATTATGCTGTTTAGGTTTGCCATCACTTTCCTCCCAAGGAGCAGGCATCTTTTAATTTCATGGCTGCAGTCACTGTCTGCAGTGATCTTGGATCCCAGGAACGTGAAGTCTGTCACTGCTTCCATGACTTCTCTTCTGTTTGCCAAGGAGTGATGGGGCCGGATGCCATGATCTTAGTTTTTTTGATGTTGAGTTTCAAGCCAACCTTTGCGCTCTCCTCTAGTACCCTCAAGCAAGAGGCTCTTGAGGTCCTCTTCACTTTCTGCCATTAGAGTGGTATCATCTGCATATCTGAGGTTGTTGATGTTTTTCCCGGCAATCTTAATTCCGGCTTGTGATTCATCCAGGCCAGCATTTTGCATGATGTACTCTACATATAAATTAAATAAACAGGGTGACAATATACATACTTGTCATACTCCTTTTCCTATGCTAAACCAATCAGCTGTTCCATATCCGGTACTGTCGCTTCTTGACCCTTATACAGGTTTCTCAGGAGACATGTGAGGTGGTCTGGTACTCCCATCTCTTTAAGGACCTGCCATAGTTTGTTGTGATCCACACAGTCAAAGGCTTTAGCATAGTCAATGAAGCAGAAGTAGATGTTTTTCTGGTACTCTCTTGCTTTCTCCATAATCCAGCAAATGAAATCCAGCTTGTACTTCTGGCAGTTCTCTATCCACGTACTGCTGAAGCCTCGCTTGTAGGATCTTGAGCATGACATTGCTAGCATGTGAAATGAGTACAACTGTGCAATAGTTTGAACATGCCTTGGCATTGCCCTTCTTTGGGACTGGAATGTAAATTGACCTTTCCCAATCCTGTGGCCACTGTTGTGTTTTCCAAATTTGCTGGCATATTGAGTGCAGCACTTTAACAGCATCATCTTTTAAGACTTTGAATACCTCAGCTGGGATACCATCACCTCCACTAGCTTTGTTGTTAGTAATGCTTTCTAAAGCCCATTTAACTTCACACTCCAGGACGTCTGGCTCAAAAACAGTGATCACACCATTGTAGTTGTCAAGGACATTGAGGTCCTTCTTGTACAGTTCTTCTGTGTATTCTTGCCATCTTTTCCTAATTTCTTCTGCTTCTGTTAGGTCCCTACCATTTTGATTATATGCCTATGCATTTAATAAGAAAAGGTTTATGTTATGTATTATGAACAGAAGATGTCTGTGGATCTTCCCTGCCTCCCCTTTTCCCATCAGCTCTAAGACTCTAAAAAGCTTATGTGGGTGTTAGGAAAACTTTGTGGACGAAAATGCTATGGGACATGGGGGACTCCTTTGAGGAGGGGAAAGTGAGAGCAACTCCTTTGCCTTCCTCATCAGCTTTTTTGGAGCATGCTGCTGGGGGAAATGGGAAAGATCCACAACCATCCCTGCATTTGTAGTTTTCAGGATAGAACCCATTAAATTCATACAGGGCTTAAATGTCAAAGCTTAAAAGAATATAACAGACAACACAAGAAAGAATACTGAATCTGGCACAACAGCTGCACACATACAAACTGCTGCTTTGATGGCATATTAGACTGTTTCTAGGAAATGTAGTACTGTAGTGGAATGCCCACTGGAATCTACTTGTCACAGTGATTGAGGAGCCAGCCCATTTTGGATGCAGCTGCACTCTTCTGAAAGAGCAGGTTCACACCTTGGTGATAGCATTAGATACACAATTACAGATGGAGGCTCAGATCTGCTCTGTGGCATGCAGCACCTTAAGCTAACTTCACTTCATTGGCCAGCTGCAGTCTTACCTTGGGAAGCATGATTTGACCGTAGTTATTGACACACTGATCACATCTGTTAGAATGATGGTAATTCACTCTACAAGGGGCTGTCTCTCAATACTATTTAGAAAGTTCCATTAGTATAAGATGTAGCAATGAGACTACTGACTGGTGTAAGATATAGGCAACATATATTACGAGTACTCAAAGATCTCCAGTATTACCAGTACTCTAAGAATTCAAAAGTGCTGGTTATCACGTTTTTCCTGGGACTTAGGATATTTAAAGGATCACCTGTTCCCGCATGAACTTGCCTGTACATTAATATCTTCTTTGGATGTCCTGTTATGTGTGGCCCACTTTCTGAAGCAGGGGGGAATATGTCAACTAGAAACAGAGCATTCTCTCTTGTGATGCTGTGGTTGTAGAATGCCCTCTGCACAAGTATCAGGCTGGCACAGAACCTGCTGAGATGCCACCATCAGAATTTTTTTCCTGGCTTTTTGTTGACTTGGCCCTGTTCCACTGGCCTTTTAACATAATTTCTGCACATCTTTGCCATTTGAAACTGTTTGTTCTGCTGCTTTTGACATCTGTTTTCAATACTGCTGGTACTGAACATTTCTACCTATTGGCAATCCTGGGTTCTAATTGTTTTACAGTAATTATTTCATCTGCTTAAGTGTTGCAAGTTGCCTCAGGACCTTACTCAGCAAAGACAAAAACTAACTGAATAAGGTGGTCACTGTCACCCATGCCCTTGTCACTTCCAGATTAGACTAAAATAATGCAGCCTAGGTGGGGCTAGCCTTGAGAGCTATCCAGAAGCATCAGATGGTTCAAAATGTTATTGCCTTTCAATAGATGTAAGGAGGGAGCACATTCCATTCATGATCCAACAACTTCATTGGTTACCTAGGCTCAATTCAAAGTGCTGGTTTTAACTTTTTAAAGACCTAATTATCTGAGAGAGTGTCTGCTCATACATATACTTCTGCTTGTTAAGTTCTGCCAACAAGGCCACTCCAGATTTTATTTCAAGCAGACACCGTGCTGTGGCCCACTACAAGTAGGGTTTTTTCAGCAGTTGCTCCCTATCGTAAAGTCTTTTCCTTTCCAACAGTCTGAACGATCATCTTTTAGTCTGGTGGCTTTTATGCAAACTGATTAATTTTTGATGTCTTGCACATTAAAGTCATAGATCGAGTAGTAAACTGTCTGTGCCCCACCCCACGGATGATGAAAACAACATAACCTTGCTCACAGAGAAGACGGGGGGTGGTGGGTCTGCATACTCAGAAGACTCCCTATGCATGCAGAAAAAATATAACTCCGTAAACCAACTAACTAACCAAAAGAAAGAAAAACTGCCCTATAAACCCCTTCAGATGAAGGCTGATAATCTGAGAGGGAGAGAATGAGATGCTGAGAGCAGACGAGAGTCAGCTGGGTGGGTCACCAGTATGCTCCATCTCTTCCAAGAAAACTCTGGAGGGAAGAGATTTACTACGGGTGGGAGGATTTCAACCTGTTCTCCTGCCGTTAATTCCTCATCAGCCACAAACCTATTTGAAAAATTATTGTTTTTACTTCCTCATAACAACTTTATTTCAAAAATGGTCTATATATCCAGAGTATTTAAAATTCTTACAAATTTAGAAGAGATTAAGTAGTAGGAATGGTGAAGCCAGTTCCAGAAATCCCCTTTTCAACACTGTTTAGGTGCCATCAAGTGCCAGCTCTTTGAACTGCAAGTCTAAGAAAGCACTTTACAGTAAAAATAGTTTCCCCCAAGAATTATGACAGTATTTTGTCTTCAAGAAATGCAAAGTGCCCTGTTAACTATAGTTAGCACAAAATGTAAAGTTATTTTGGATCTCTTGGCATTCTTGTCCTCTTCATTCCTAAGTTAAACATTTAACACAGCATTTTGAAACAATCTAGAAAATTTAAATATATCCTTACTCTTACATGCAGTGCTACTGCACCGCTTTTAAGTGAAAAGAATTAAGGTATGTGGAACAAACACAAGTATGGTCAAAAAATCGCTCAAAATAGAAAACAAGTCAAGCCACAACACTAGAGGAACAACTACACTTTCACATTTGGCAGTAAAACAAAGGGAAGCTGAGGAATGCATGGTAAACAGGAAATAGTAGGATTGTGACCAATGTTCCCTCTAAGATGTGGAGTCTTGTGAGCAAAAATTCTACTTTGTGAGCTGCTGGCATTAAAGTGGTGAGCGAGCAATTTGGCTACTGCATATATTAGTTTCCTCTGAAGCCATCCTTCCTGAGCTAAGGCAAAAATGTGTGAGCCGGAGGCTAAAAAACTGTGAGCTAGCTCACACTAACTCAGCTTAGAAGGAACACATGGTCATGCTACAAAATGTTTGCACTTGGGATCTGATTCCTGGCAGGATTCAAAAGAAAACCAGAAGAATGAGGAGGGGATGAAACAAGCCTAAGGAAGTGAAAACTGCTTTAAAAAAGTTAGGAGTTGAGCAATTAAGGAGAGATGCTCTTCTCTGAATTCTCACAGATAGGTTGGGTTTCAGAAACCATGCATGCCTTAAAAAGCGAGTGAATTATTTCACTTTCATTCCAATGCAGAGGGCACTTGCACCAAACAAAATGCCTCTGACTTAAATTTTTAAGTCAAGCTTCAAAGTTAACACTATCTGCATTTGTACCAGCCACGAAAGGAAAAGGAGAAAGGAACAGAGTTGGTGCAAGGTGCCCTCTGCATTGGTGCAAGGTGCCCTCTGCAAGAGCAATACAGACCCAACTAGTAGATATGATGTTTGGGCCCAGAACAGACAAAACAGCAGGAGGAGAGATTCTCTCTCCATTTCCTTTATAGAAGATAGTTAATGCAGGAAGGGTCACAAGGGTCAGAATGGTATTCTAACTTGTCCTGGCTCACTTTCCCCATACAATTTTACAGGGAAAGAAAGTAAAAGGATTTCTCCTACAATGAAATGGTGCCTCTCTCAAGAGGTACCATAGTTATTACATAAAGATACTTGCCTGGTTATGTCTTTCTTGGAAAGCACATACATTATATTTTGCAATTCATTTCTATTCATTCCCAAATCAAAGTATATTTATTTTGTGCTAAGCAATAGAAGAATTTCTCACTATCTGGCATAACGAAGTAATTACTACCCAGGAACAAGAATAAAAGCCATTTTCTAAACATCCTCAGTGCTATACATGCTTTCTCAGGATTAGCATAGTTTCAGCGTACATTTACTCAAGACCACCTTATCATTTCTCGGTATCACATCTTGACCGCAATTAACTGAATGCTCATACACACACACACATACACACACAAACAGTTCTTTGCCTTTGATGACTTATCTGATCTCTCATTGAACAACCTGTTTTGCCAGGTTGCCTTTCTGATTACATTATCTTCCAGCATTACAATTTTCATTTACTGTATCTAAAGAGAAATTGCCACATAGAAGAACTGTTCAATTTACTGTACCTGTTTAGCAAAAAATATTGTATCTAATCTGGAATCTTGAACAACAGATCCAGCTGGTTCTTCACCTGGTTGCCACTTGAACAGAAAAATTAGCCCATGAACTGGCCTATATGAACGACAAAAAAAAGTTTTAAAAAACCCTCAATGAAGTACATACATCTAAAACTGTAAACACATTTACTAGAAACTAATTCAACTGAAGCAAATAAGACATGTATATAACAAAAAATGGCACTCCGTGTCACCTACCAATAAAAGCTTGGGTAGCAAGTGATCAGAGCTGTGCAACATAAAGTGACAGAATGCTATGCTTCTCTGAGGTGGGAGAACCAAACCTGTGGAATTCTCCCACATCAGGTTACTGGTGCCCTAAAAAAGGATGACTCCAACAGAATTAAATTTCATCAATAGAACTAACAGCACTGGTCAGGGGCTCAATAGGTCTGATACATTTCTCAGTTTCTTTACATGTTCAAGTGCTTTACACAATAAACTAGTCTGTGCTATTCCCGATGGTAGTTGCTACAAATGCTCACTGTGTTTATCTTTAAAGTTACCTATTTTACATAGAAATGTCATAAACCAGACCTTTTAATTTTCATTTTTCCCTATACTAATTCCCCCCCCTCTGAAAACCCATTTCATAACATCCGACAAAGTGGGTTTAAGCCCACAAATGTTTATGCTACAACAAATTTGTTAACCTTTAAAGATGCCACATGATTCAGTGTTTTATTGTGCACATTCACCTGTGGGAAACATAGCTCAGTAAATGGGCAAAGTTATGTCTGGACCAATGTTCCCTCTAAGTTGTGGAGTCTTGTGAGCAAAAATTCTACTTTGTGAGCTATTTGCATTAAAGTTGTGATGAGCGATTTGGCTACTGCATAAATTAAGTTTGCCCTGCAGCCATCCTTCCTGAGCTAAGACAAAAATGTGTGAGCCAGAGGTTAAAAAACTGTGAGCTAGCTCACACTAACTCAGCTTAGAGGGAACACTGGTCTGGACCAATGCTCCCTCTAAGCTGTGGAGTCTTGTGAGCAGAAATTCTACTTTGTGAGCTGCTGGCATTAAGGTTGTGAGTGAGTGATTTGGCTCCTGCAGAAATTAATTTGCTCTGGAGCCATCCTTCCTGAGCTAAGACAAAGATGTGTGAGCTGGAGACTAAAAAATTGTGAGCTAGCTCACACTAACTCAGCTTAGAGGGCACACTAGTCTGGACTGTACCACTCTATAGCAAACAGCAGACGTATGTCATAAGGCCCACATCTGACCTGACCTGGATAGCCCAGGCAAGCTTGATCTCGTGAGACCTCAGAAGTTAAGCAGGGCCAACCCTCACAAGTATTTGGATGGGAGACCTCCAGAGAATACCACGGCCGGGCAGGCTATCAAGCCACTTCTCTGAATGTCCTCCATGCCTCAGTAGGAGTTGCCAGAGGTTTCCATGACTTCCAGGTACGAGCATACACACACACACACACACACAAAAATACCAAGAAAAGGCTCACATCCTCTAAAAATATCAAAATATTCCAACTACAATGTAGCACCAATTGTCCCCCTTTTGATTACTATGCCTTCTAAATCTCCTGTGGAAGTTATTAACAATAAAACTTTAAAAAGTTAAGCTGTTTCTTTTGAAATGATAAACTTACTTTAATTTTTCAAAGTTCTCTGGCTCCAGACTCCATATTTCTTCAACCTGTGCACCCCTACAACCTGAAAAAAAAGTTAGCTTTCTATGTAAGAATGATTACAAGCAAGTCCCACTTATCTAATCAGCTTATATACAAACTTGTTATATACAAACAAGTTATATACAAACTTACATACAAAGTATACAAACAAACAATAACTTCTATCTGCTCTTGACAGCTTTCGCTGTACACAATTTTAACAAATTACGCAAGTCACCAAACCCAGAAAAACTCTAAATGTTACAAAAGTCTCCAGATTCAGAACATTTGATCTTGCATTAAGAAATCTACACCCAAAACTTTAGATATATTACTGCTGCCTGCTTAGTGTTCTAATAGACACCAATTCTGGAAGTACTTGTTAGCAGTATAAGCACTAAGGTATTTATATGCCCACTGTATTCATCATGAAGGTAGGACAATGTGCAACATGAACATTTACTTTATCTACTTCATATGCACTCCACCTTTCTCCCTGATAGGGACCCAGAGCAGCTTACCCTTTCTTCTCTCTTCCATTTTATCCTAACAACTCTGTGAGGTGGGTTAGGCTGAGAGTATGTGACTGGCCCAAAGTCACCCATTTTATCCTAACAACTCTGTGAGGTGGGTTAGGCTGAGAGTATGTGACTGGCCCAAAGTCACCCTGCAACTTTTTCAAGTCAGAGTGGGGATTAAAACGTGGGTTTCTCAAGACCTAGTCCAATGCTAACCACTATGCCACGCTAAGATAAACTATTAAAGTGCTTGAAGCACCCACTGTGTTCACATGACCCAAACAGATAAAGAGTTATCACCACTTAGTAAACAGTAAAATAGCTTTCTAAAAAAAATATATATTTAGAACCGTGAATTGGAAGCTTTATTCCAGAAAGCAAGAAGTTTAATAAAGAAAAATTATCTGTTCTTGCAAGGCATACGCCAACAGATCTCCATTAAGCCCCCTGGAGAAAGCATGCTCAATCACACAGTAAATTAGTGAGAATGAATTAGTGCAGAGCAGAAGCATGGGATCTTGCATACCTAGGAATGCTCTCCATGACTTAGCTTCCCAAACTGCCAGCTCCTTCATACAGCTATTCCAGGAGCTAGCCAGACTGGAATGTGTTGATCTCTGACAAGATACTACTACTTTTCAAAATTAATATGTATTCACTCCTTCCAGGGAGCTCAGAATGATAGCTTAACTTCACAACAAACCTGAATGATAGGTTAGGCTGTACCTTGCTGGCACTAAGCCACCTCACACATTATGGACAGTTTGCAAGCAAGCACTGGAGTCTAGGTGACCTTCCTAACAAGCCATAGCAGCATGACACATATTTGATGCTTGCACATTATGCATAAGAGTTCCATTAGATAATACTAGCACCATGCACATAAAACAACTTCTAAAGTGCAAAGTGCATTAAATGCATGCTTGCAACTCTGTGCTGTATAGGCACACACAAGGGACTGGCTGCAGCAAGCATACACTTGCTTCATCATATATAAAACCAACAAGGCCCTTGGGCATTCAGAAAAACTAGAAGCATGTAAAGTAGCCCTGAGCAAGTACTTGAACACAGGCACCTTCAATACTTTATAAGATTATATGTACAATGAAAAGTAGGGTGTGTGTGTGAAGAAAAGCTAACAGCACAAGATTTCCCCCTCCCCCACCCCATTACAAGTATAGCCACCATCACCTGCCAGCCATGCAGAACTGACTAGCGTTGCAAGATTTTATCCTCCATACTTATTGTATGTGTGGGCAGGAAAGAAAAGTGAAAAAGAACGCGTTCGGGTTTTTAATGCTTTGATATACATTTTTGAAACTGGTCTCCCCCCCCCCCCTTCTTGCCAAAACCTAAACACACTATGCACATGCCTCAGAAATACTGTGTTCTTCAGGGGGAGGGGGGATCCCGACCTTTGCACATGTTCTCTTTACAAAAGAAAGGCACCCAGCACACGCTCAGAGGCAACTGTTTTCAAAACAGAACCCGGCAAGCGCGGCGGCTCCCCGTCCCCGTTGGCCCTCCCCTCGAGCCCACCACCTCGGAAGAAGGCGACGGCAGGCCGCAAAACCTCACCGAACCCCTTGATAAGCTCTGTGAAGACACCCGGGTCGCTCTCCATGAGGCACCACTCGCCGGCGCTGCCTCCTCCCGCCATGGCTCTAGACCGGCCACGGCCTCGTCACCGCGCACAGGCTCAGCTTCTCCTCACCCGCCGGCAGCCACACGCCACCCTCCAACCCCTCGCCTACCCGGCGCGCGTGCGTACAGGACGCACAACCGCCCCCTTTCCCGAAAGCCTCTGCGGCCGCCTACCCCAGCCAAACCCCCCCCCCCCCCAAATTGGGGGTGGTGCCTCAGCTCACAGGCGAGAACATCACGTCATCATCATAGCTTAGAAAAAGCGGCCGGAAATCCACCAACGAGATGAAAGGACTCTACATCCTGACTATGTCATAGAAGTAGAAAAAGGCCCCCGGACGCATCCATTTTTTCTTCGGGTTCCTAGTTGAATGCGTGCGTGGTGGGAACGCAAAAGGGGTGTGTGTGTGTCTTTATCTCTATTGCGCTATATGTCCCATGCTCCTTATCAGTTCTTTCAGCTTTATGTGACATTCCCTGCCGCCGGTAGACAGTTGCATTAATATGTATGTGGGGTGAATTATGGCCAGTGACACATAGAATTATGGACAATGCTGGCTATTCAGATTGTGACGAAACCAATTGATCTCTGTGCACAAGCCTTCAAGCCTCCTTCAAGAAGGGGTTGGGGGCCGGTGGGCCCATCCGGGTCTTTGCAACTTTTGCGGGTATGGTATCTCTGGGGGACAACAAAGTGTTTCTGTCGTCCTCCCCCCCCCCCCCCCCCCAGGCAAGGAGAGGGGCGGGGATAACAATGCGGAGCTTCTCCATCCGGGTCTCTTTCGGGCACCCGGACGTGAGGGAAGTTGTCAGGGGCTGGGAGAAGCGAGCACGGAAAGGATCCTGAGGAGAAGCGAAAGCTTCGGTCGCCTTGACTGGCCGCTGGTCCTCGCCTGTATTTGCTGCTCTCCTTGCGAGTCACGGAGGTAGCTGCGGTCGCCGTGCAGGTACGGCGGGCTTGGCGGGAACGCCTGGGATATCCTCCGCCCTGCAGCGCCAGCTTCCCGGGGAGGGGGCGGACGGTCCGTTTTCCCTTCCTGGACCAGAGATCACTTTCCAAGGAGTAGTTTTTTTCACCCACATCAAACCCCTCCCCCAGGAGCCCCCTTCCTACTCCCGAAAAACTGGAAGGAATTGGGAAGAGCTCTGTTATTAACAAGGGGGGAGGTGTCCTCTTCTTCAAAAGAGAGCTTCCTTTATGAAGGAAGGTGGGAGAAAAGAGAAGAAGCGGCGTTTCAAGCAGCTATTGTTTATTAAGTACTTTTTAGTTTTTTTTCCAAGGAGTACAGGGCGACTCACGTTGTTACTTTTTTTTTTATCCTCATGACAACCCTGTGAGGGAGGCAAAGCCATAACTAGTTAATTTTTGCCACCGAGGCAAGAATATAACATTGCACTCCCTATGCTTTCATGGTAGTTATTTTGGTAGAAAGGTAAGTACAAAGGTAACAAAAAGTAATAATAACAACACAATGTTTATTTTAGTGATGGTCAGGTCTTTTGCTTGCACCACTCAGCTTCATGCTCCCCAGGCAAATACCACAATTGCATTGCCCTTGTTACAGCAGCCCCAGTGTCACCCGGTGATTTTCACAGCAGCACAGGGCTTTGAATCATGGCCTCCTAGATCCTACTCTGATATTTTGAGGGGGAGGGAGCGGTGGCTTGGTGGTACAGCATCATGGCCCCCGGTCACAAGGGCTGGAAAACGCGGGGGGGGGAGGCGTGGCTATTTGCAGCGCTGCAGTTAGCCCCGCGACAATGCGATCAGATGTGTCGGCAGCAACCCATGGTTCCGGCCCTCGGTGTGCACGCTGCAACAAAGACAGCTGGAGGGAAAAGCCGCGCCTGCACGATCACACCAAGGGAGTCCAGAGGCAGGCTGTGGCAAACCGATTGCTACTCCCTTTGAGGAGGTATTTTTTTATCACACATTTTCGGCGGCATGCCACAGGTTGGCCACGGGTGCGCTCCACTTGCCAGATGCTGTGGTTTGATTGCGCCCAGAAAATCCACCATCCAATCATGGCTCTCCCGCAGCAAATTCGCCATGTGAACGGGGGCCCATGTTTGGCATCTCCAATTAAAAGTAATCAAGTAGCAGGTGATGTGACAGACTTCATCTTGAGGTCCTGGAAAGCTTCTGTCAGTGAGAGTAAACAATACTGACCTTGATGGACTTTTGCTCTGGTTCAATATAAGGCAGCTTCATATGTTCACTGCACTGGCTCTGGCAAGGAAATACACAGAAATGCAATCACTACTGTGATTCAAGCTTCACATGTAGTAACCTGAGGCTTGGTGTACACATGTAGCAAAATGAGGTGATAGAACAGATGATACTATTTAAGTTCAGATTGCATGTGATGAATTCTGAGTTTGAGGGCAGCCACTGAGCATTCTACACAGAATAGATTGTTCAGAGTTTATTTAAAAAGTAAATTGTTCCATATTATGCTAAATGGAAAAAAAAGACTTTGTGTTGCAAGGAACTGTCTAGCAATTCTTTTTTTTTTGGCCCCCCCGCAGGGGAATTTTTATTTTTTTGCATTTTCTACACACTACAATTATGGGATGGGGGAAGGGAAAATAATTGATGTTGTTCAGTCGCACAGTCGAGTCCGACTCTTCGCGACCCCATGGACTAGATTCCGCCAGGCCCTCCTGTCTTCCGCTGTCCTCTGAAGTTGGCTCAATGTCATGTTCGTTGCATCTATGACACTGTCCAACCATCTCATCCTTTGCCGTCTCCGTCTTCTTTGACCTTCAATCTTTCCCAGCATCAGGGTCTTCTCAAGTGAGTGCTCCCTTCTCATTTGGTGGCCAAAGTATTTGAGCTTCATTTTCATTATCTGGCCTTCCAGGGAACAGTCAGGGTTGATTTCTTTTAGGATTGACTGATTTGATCTTCTTGCAGTCCAAGGGACTCTCAAGAGTCTTCTCCAGCACCATAGTTCAAAAGAATCTATTCTTCGGCGCTCGGTCTTCCTTATAGTCCAACTCTCGCAGCCATACATGACTACTGGGAATACTATAGGTGATGGGTATAGGAAATCTAATACACAAATCTACTGGATTTGGGAAGGATTACTACAGTTCTAATCTATTCCATCTACTGGATTTGGGGAATAGGTAAAGACTAATCCATATCAAGATCTAAGTTATAGAATTTTTTTTTTAACCTAATATAACACGTTATGTTAAAATTTGATTCAATTATTAATACATCTGTAGTAGCTTAACGCAATTTCTGCCTTTAATACTATTGCCTTAGTTCTAGAGTCTTTTCTTCCTGCGTTTCTTCGTTTTCTGGAGTTTCGGAGTGGCCGCTCCTTTCTCCGATTCAGATGATTCTGATGACGTGGAAATTTGGCTTGTTAAATCCTGTGAGTAGGATTCATCTTCTTCCTCCCCATCCGGTTTTAAGTTCTTTTCCTTCTGCTTCTTTTTTGTGTTAAACACTTGGTCCAATTTTTTTTCCACTTTTGGAACAGAGTCAATTTTATATTTCCCCCCCCCTGGAAATTGAAGCTCAGCCCTTCCGGGAATAACCATCTATATGGTATTCCCTTTTTTTGAAGAGTGAGAGTGAGCATCCTGTAGCGTTTCCTTTGTTTTCTAACCTTGAAAAGGATGTCTTTCAAAAATTTTACTTCTTCATTCTTGATTTTTAAGGATTTTCCCATTTGTTGACTTTAGCACCAGTTCTCTGGTAGATCGTTTTGTGAATTTCAGATAGATTTCCCCAGGTAATTTATTTTTCTTTATAAAGTCCTATAGGCCACATCCATCTCTTTTATTAAATCTTCTTGTTTGTAATCCATTAATGGGGTCAAGGCAGCCGCCAAGAGTTCTTTTAAGTCCTCATTTTTCTCTTCGGGGATCCCATGAAAACGTAGAACATACATGGATCTGTCTAGCTGAAGCTGTGTTATTTGCATTTTATCAGCAGATCTTTCCTTCTCTGCTTCATTCACTCTTTTATTAATACTCAGTCTGTTTTTCCATCTTTTTCAACGTTTTCTCAGTTGCTGAGGTTCTTTTATCCATTTGATTCATCTGTTTTTGAACATTATCAAGCTTAGTGTTGAGATTAGTCATCTGCTCCATTAGGGGGCGCAGTGCATTTGCTAGCAGTGCGGAGAAGTCTGTAGTTATTTCCTGGTTCTGAGAAGGTGTCGTTGGTATGTTATTTCTGGTCACCAGTTTTTTTTCCGGCACTCTCCGTCCTCTCCCAGCCATAATATCAACAAGAAGTAAGTTTTCCAAAACAAGGCAAAAGTTATACGATTTAGTCCCGCTTTGTATACTTTAGCAGTTTTTGCATTCGTTTGACTGCTTATGTGCTTATTTTAGCTCAAAGTCTTTTATTTCCGATTTAAAACCATTTTTAAAGTTTGCTCAAAGAAAAAAAAGAGGGGGTGTTAATTCCTCTCCCCAACGCTTCAAACTTAGGTGCTTCCGATTACTACCAAGGTTCAGTTTGCTTTTTTCACCTGAGCTTTGCTTAACTCACGATTTGGAGTCTTGGAGATCTTTTGGAAGTATTTTTAGAAGTTTGATCATGGTCACTTGCTCCGGCATTCGTCTCTGCGCGCCATGCTGGCTCTGCAGCGACGGTATCTTTCGGGGAAGAAGGTGAGTCTCAATTCCTTGGCCGTTGCCTTGGAAGAGGCTCTCCTCAGCTCCCCAGGCTGGGGGTCTCCTACAAAGACCCTGGGGAGGTCCGGGACGAACTCGGACCCCTTCCGTCAGCTGGGTCTCGGCGCATCTCCATCAGAGTGAGATGGGACGTGTCCGAGCAGCGAAACGCTTAGACCAGAAATCTGTCTAGCAATTCTTGACAGTGCACATCACCCATACCTGTGGAAACAGCTAGCACAGTTTCCTTGCTTAGTAAAAAGAAGTGTATCTGCTGATGCCTATCAAATTTTGTAGGATGTGAAAATGACAGTTAAGTTAACAGTGTGTTCAGCAGTCATTTGCTACATTCCCACCAGTAATTGATAGTACATATGCAGTACCTTTTTTTATCAGAAAGAGAAACTGAAGGATTTGTGGTACAGTGGAAAACAACAGGCCAGGTGAGTGAGCTACTTTCATGAAGAATTAGTGAGGTGTCTA